TTTTATGGAATAAGATGTCAATTTAGTTCAGATAAATTTGGTTTCTCGCTTGATGGAATTTTAGGTTATTATATTCAACCAAATATTGATGTTGTACATCAATCATCTATGGTCAAAATTAGTTTGACATTAACTATTGTTTTTATAACAATTGGTTATATTAATGGAATATTATCTTTCATTACATTCAATAATAAAAAAATATGTGAAGTTGGCTGTGGTCTTTATTTATTGACTTCATCAATAACAACTTTACTCACAACTACAATGTTCGGACTAAAATTTTCAATACTTCTTCTTGGACAAATGAAAATTATTACAAATCGTTTATTTTTGTATATTCAATGTTTATCTATTGATTTTCTCTTACGAGTTTTTCTCAATATGGATCAATGGTTAAATGCTTGTATTGCTGTTGAACGAGCAGTTGTAACCATAAATGCGATTGGCTTTCAAAAAAAGAGAAGTAAAAAAATAGCTAAAATAGTTATCATTATTCTTTCAATCTTCATTATTTCTACTTGTATTTATGATCCATTTTATCGACGTTTAATGGATGATGCAATCGATGATGATAGCAGAATTTGGTGTATTACTTCTTATTCATCTAATTTACAAAAGTTCAATACGTTTATACATGCATTTCACTTCTGTGCTCCGTTTGCTATTAATCTTATCTCGACTCTGATTCTCATCTTAAAAACATCTCGTCAACAAGCAAAGACTCGAAATAAAACAAAATACATAGCGATTATTATAGAACAAATTCAAGTACATAAGCATATATTGATTGCTCCTTTTGTAATAGTTATACTTGGAATACCACGTTTAGTCATGGGATTTGCATCCAAATGTATGAATTCAAACAATGATGCAACATTATATCTTATTGGATATTTTGTTTCATTTATTCCACCTATGCTTACATTCATTATCTTTGTAATGCCATCGAAGTTTTATAAAGAACAACTTGGTAAAGTTTGGGCTAATATCAAAATTAAAATAAACCGAAATTTTGCTTCTTTTTAATGAAGGTAATTAAGATAATGTTTTTAGAATTGTTGATGAGTTTGATGTTGATGAAATTAGAGTCAGATTCGTCTAGGAACATGCTTCAAGTGAAGATGTCACTGCAGAAGAACGACACTCTATACTGATCAATATAATTTCAAGGGTACATCAAAGAGTGAGGATGCTGCGGTGTTGTTCATCAGGAGTTGTACCCGAAAAATTGATTTTTCGAACTTTTTCATTAAAAAATTATTTTTCTATTTCAATCTTTGTATTATTATTTCGTCTTAAATGAATATAACTCTTACTAAATTGCTACTTCTCAGAAACAGCTATGTTTCGCTCGTAACAAAAGTGTAATATTGAAATTGAAACAAAATAAATAATTTTCTTATCATATGGTTTTAAAAAATTAATTTTTGTATGTGATTCTCGATTATTGTGGTATACCGGCGTTAGTTCAAGTAAATGTCAGAAGGGTAAGATATCTAATTAATTCTTTAGCGGGAGTTATCATTACTTGAATCCTCCAAAAATATTTAGAATCATGGTGTGTGTGTGTGGGTGTAGACAAATAATATATCTATACTTATTCCACACTTCACAACCTTATTCATTTGATGACAATACGTATATCAGGTTTTACATTTTAGTTCCACAAGGAATTGCACTAAAAG